GAAATTTGGAGATCCCGTCTCGGCCATTGGGTCTTTTCATGGTACGTCCTGGTGGTTGTGAAATGGTGAGGTCGGCCCTGCTGAGGTCGGTCCCGACGACGTGATGACATGTATATGGGCTTGCTAATACTTCAGCCCAAACCCAACAGCGCCATAGTAAAAGAACACTCTCTAATTGTAATTTTGGGCCCAAACCTACTTTCAGGATTCAGTAACAAGTATAATCTTTCACTTTCATGTCACTCTCGGCGTTTCTACATCTTTCTTCTGGATTTAACTATTAAGCCTCATTTATTCTCTCCTCTGATCGGAGTTGACACTCATTCCATTTCGGCAAGTTGAAATTGTGGCAAGGACGAATCGGGCTCGACATTCTCTGTTGTCGATGCAGATGTGTTGCGTTTGGAGTCTGGCCCAATAGTCGCGTGGAGATCCGAGCCCACCTCGACTGTGATGTAGGGATCTGAACTCGGCCCGGAGGCGCTGTGGGACCTGGGCTAAGTCCGATTCATGTCGGCTTTTTGGCTGGCGGTGGTCGGTTCTGCGGCGTCGAGGACGGGCGACGGCCTGTGGTGAGGTCGGTCCCGACGTTTTTGACGACCCATGAGATGAGGTCGGCTCGACTCTGAATCCGACATTCCGGTAAAGGTGAGGCATGGTTGGTTGCGACTTTAGAGGTCGGGGATGCCGAGATCGGCCATGATTAAGTCGGGCCCCAGCCTCGGTAGGCCGAGATTGGGCTTGCCGGCGGAGGAGAGATAAAAGGTCGGTCCGGCGGCAATTTGGAGATCGTCCAGCGAGCTAGGGAAAGATGTCTGCCCGGTGTCGTGTGGAGGTCCGAGCAGCTCGATGCATAGTGGAAGTCGGGCCCTGGCTGAAAAAGTCAGGCGGCGGCTGCGAGCTCCATCTCCAAACCGGGATGTGGAACCGACTATGGGTAAGGCTGATACAGCTGGTGCTGGACTATTTGTCGCTTGCCGCCGATGGAGATTCATTGTCGGTGGTTCTGAACAGCGGATGACCTTTAGGCCAGCTCCTTGTATGAACAGAAGGACTCTATCTGGAGATCCGATTCTCTTCTCCCCTCTTTTTTTTATTTTTAATTTTCCGTAGCCTCCAGATCTTGGATTTTGGGGGATTATTTATTTATATATATATATATATTCTTTTTTTTTTTTCTAGCGAAAAGAATGACAATGTCTTCAAGCAAGTAATGGCTTGAAGATGATTGGTAAATCAATCTCAGAACTCAGATTCAAAAACTTGCTAATTCTGGCTGGGAGAAGAAATTTATTTTCCCGTTTATCCTTATATATATATTTATTATTTTTTTTTATTTATTCTTCGCCCCAATTAGCCTAGGACACCAAAATGAGGAACCAAAAATTCAATGCAGAAAAGATAAAACGGGAGTACGAGTAATCTTGCCAAGGATGGAGATGAAACCTCGAGAAGTCTTTTTTCCGGTAGAGATGTGACCAATTTAATGCGAAAATTGACTCCGAGTAAATTACGGAGCCCTCCTTCTAGCGCCAAACTGTTGATAAACGGATCTGATCAACGAAAATATACACCCATATTCTGTGAATAATCG